TGAGCTTTAAAAGAACAGTTACTGTTCTTTTAAAGCTCACTTGCAGTGCAGTAAAGACAGCTTTACTGTAACAAAAATCTGCATTGATATAGCATAGTCAACATCAATAAGCTGGAAAGCACGGAGGGGAGGCTTGAGAAGCTGGATGCTGATAGTGAAAAGACTTGAATTGCTATAGTATCTTTTATGCCTTGAATCCTTCCAAAGGTTTAACTGCCTATGAAGTATATCCGAAATCACAGTTGTGTGAAAAATTTGAGCTAATTTGCACCAAGTGCGATCCCACAAGCAACAATGAAATAAACGACCAGAGAATCTGTTATACTGCCTAGTTGAACTTTAAATACCAACCAAGACATTGAAGAACTCCCGTATTCCTTTTTGAATGTGTTGGTAATGCTTACCGGAGAGGGCAACTGGGGTCTTGGTCTAACTGTCACCCATAAGGTGGCACTTCTGACATTGCAGCATTTCTCTCGTGATTTCATCAAAGTGTCAGCTGAGATGATGTGTTATTGGGCTTTAATGGTAGGAGGGTTGCGATAGCAGTAAATGTTAGAGTGGATATTGAGTTGAATCGGATGTCAAAATGAAAATTGTCTAGATCAGCCTGAGGCACTGCCCAATGTAGTAGAGAATTAGATGCAAATGTATGGAGTTTGTGGTACTTTTAGTCTTTCTAATATTTAAGAAGAGGGAATAGTGATGTCAGATAAAAAGCTGACAGTGATAGAGGAGTGAAACTGGGCATTGATGATACCCAGCTCCACCTCACCATCTGATTGCTTGTCTGGAATACAGTAGTGGATGAGTAATGACTGGGAAACGTTTGCTATCAATTGTTCAAAATTGTGCCAAATTGCCCTTCAAGGTGCATTGCACTTTGAGTCATAGTGCAGCTGCCCCACAGAACTCATCTCTTCCTGCTTTGACTCAGTCCTCTCTCTCCTGGTCCAATCCCTGCCCATGCAATTGAGTTCTGTGGGGCAGGAGCCAGCTTCCTACCTACAGGCAGGTCTTAGGGCTCTCCGCTTCTTCTTGGAGCAAAGACCTGAACTGTCCCCACCCTCCTCTGCTTTGTCAAACTCGTCCTCACCCTCAACAGCTTTTAACTTCTCTCATTTTTTTCTGGTCAGAGAGGTGGCCATGGGTACCCACATGGGTTCCAGTCCTGTTCCAGCCCCCACCACAACTCTGTCTCTGATATATCAATGATATCATTGGTGCTGCTTCCCTCTCTCATCTGAAATTGGAAAAGTTCATCAATTTTGCTTCCAATTTCCATCCTGCCCTCACTTTCAACTGGTCTATCTCTGACTCCCCGCTTCCCTTCCTCAACATTTCTGTTTCCATTTCTGGTGATAGACTGGCCATTAATGTCTACTACAAACCCACTGACTCCCATCGCTACCTGGAGTATACACCCTCACACCCTGCTTCCTGTAAAGACACCATCCCATTCTCTCAGTTTCTCTGTCTCCGTCGCATATGTTCAGGTGAGGCCAGCTTTGACAAGGGAGCCTCTGAAATGTCCACCTTCTTCCTCAACCGAGGATTCCCCAGCACCACTGTCGTTGGGGTGCTCAACTGGGTCCAACCCATTTCCTGCACCTGCGCCCTCACCTTCTCTCTTCCCTCCCACAACAGCAATAGGGTTCCCCTTGTCCTTACCTACCATCCCACCACCATCCACATCCAGAAGATTATCAGATGCTGCCACCAGATACACATTCCCCTCCCCTCTCTTGTCCACCGTCTGAAAGGAGCGCTCCCCCCAGGACATCCTGGTCCACGCTTCCTTCACTCCCAACACAGCCCCATGGTACCTTTGCCTGTAACCGGCAAAGGTGCAACACCTGCCCATTTACCTCCTCCCTCCCCACTCTCCAAGGGCCCAAACATAGCTCCCAGGTGAAGCCACATTTCATCTGCACGTACCAGAATCTAGTCTACTGCATTCACTGCTGACAATGTGGTCTCCTTTTCATTGGGAAAACGAAACGTAGACTGGCTGACCATTTCTCGGAGCATCCGCGTTCTGCTCGCAAAAAAGACCCTGAGCTTCCAGTTGCCTGCCACCTTAATGCAACACCCTGTTCCCTGGCCAACATCTCTGTCTATGGCATGCTGCAGTGTTCCACTGAAGCTCAATGCAAGCTGGAAGAACAACACCTCATTTTCCGCTTGCGGACCCTGCAGCCCTCCGGACTCTATAACGAGTTCAATAATTTTAGGGCCTAAACTCTCCCATGTCTGAGCTCCCTACCCCCCACACACTAGGCCTTGTTATCACATACAACAACAAAAACAAAGTTGCTGGAAAAGCTCAGCAGGTCTGGCAGCATCTGTGAAGGAGAAAGCAGAGTTGACATTTCGGGTCCTTCCTCAGAACTGATGGTGGCTGGGAACACGTCAGTTTATATGCAGAAAATAGGGAGGTAGGTGGGGTAGGGAGTAAACGAAAGGATAGAGCCCGAAGAGAGAGAGAAAGACAGTTGGACAGATAAAGGAGTTGCTAATGATCAGGCTGGGAGGGTGAATAGTTGTTAATGGGTACTGTTAGTGACTAACAACAGGGGATGTGTAATGGCAGGCTATGTGGTAACTCCATATTGAGTTCAATAATTTTAGGGCCTAAACTCTCCCATGTCCCAGCCGCCCACCCCACACACCAGGCTTTGTTACCACATAGCCTGCCATTACACACCCTCTGTTGTTAGTAACTAACAGTCCCCATTAACAACTATTCACCCTCCCAGCCTGATCATTAGTAACTCCTTTATCTGTGCAACTGTCTTTCTCTCTCTCTTCGGGCTCTATCCTATCGTTTACTCCCTACCCCACCTACCTCCCTATTTTCTGCATATAAACTGACGTTTTCCCAGCCACCATCAGTTCTGAGGAAGGTTCACCGGAGCCGAAAGGTTAACTCTGCTTTCTCCTCCACAGATGCTGCCAGACCTGCTGAGCTTTGCCAGCAACTTTGTTTTCATTCCTGATTTACAGCATCCGCAGTTCTTTTGGTTTTTACTTGTTATCACATAGCCTGCCATTACACACCATCTATTGTTAGTCGCTAACAGCCCCCATTAACAACTATTCACCCTCCTAGCCAGATTGTTATCAACTCCTCTGTCTATCCAACTGCTTTTTTCTCTCTTCGGGCTCTATCCTATCATTTACTCCCTACCCCATCACCCTCCCTATTTTCTGCATATAAACTGACGTTTTCCCAGCCGCCATCAGTTCTGAGGAAGGTTCACCGGAGGCGAAACGTTAACTCTGTTTTCTCCTTCACAGATGCTGCCAGACCTGCTGAGCTTTTCCAGCAACTTCTGTTTATGTTCCTGATTTGCAGCATCCACAGTTCTTTTGTTATTAGCAAGGTTTTGCCTCTGCTGTAAAAATATCTGGATTATTGTTTTCAACCTTTTTTTTTAATGCTTGTGCTGCATGGCGTAAGCTTCATGCAGACATCATCTGAAGGTATTGTGGTTTTTAGCAATTACCATTGGCTGGTTTAATAATGAATTTAGCCAAAAGTAAATTTGTGAAAACAGTAACTTGTTTGGGTGTATTGTTGATCAAAAAGAGAAGAATTGCCAAGGTCAGTGAAAGTGAAGGCTCTAATAGAATTTCCGAATAATAAAACTGACGAGAAATCGAGGTTTTTAAGACCATGTTGATTTTACTGGAAATTTGTGCTTAATTCAGCATGATAGCTGTATCTTTAACACATTTGTTAAAGAAACAAGCAAAAATTGTATGGTCAGCAGAATGCTAAGCAACCTTTGAAAAACTGAAGGCAATCTTAATAAATGAGCTAGTGTTAGTTGCCCTGATTTTTCCAGGCCTTTTCAAATTGTCGATTGATGCTGGTGTTTTGCAGGTTGGTGCTGTCTTGTTATGGGATGCTAAGTTGGGAATACAGAGGCCAGTGAGGTACTACTTTAAGAAACTAAGCCCGTATCAGAAGAAGTACTTTAACATAGAAAAAGAGACTTTGAGATTGTTGTTGACTCTTCAACACTTCGAAGTGTCTGTCAGACATGGGAGTAAGAAAGTGCTAATTTACAATGATTATACTCCACTGGTCTTCATTGAAAAGTTTAAAATTTGGAATGTAAGACTATTCAGATGGAGTCTTGTTGCAACCATTTGACATAAAGATTATTCATCTCACTGGAAAAGATAATGTAATTGCAAATGTATTGTCCCAAATGTAGAATATTGAAATACGTTAAAAGTCTAAGAAATGCTAAGACTGCATGGGGGAGCATGGTAAGTTTTGCATTTTATTGTCGTCTGTCACTTGTTTTGTACTGAAACACTTTTTTGAAATGACGATTTGTTTCATTAAGGCATGTAAGGAACATGTCTTTTTTTATTTTTGTGCTCCCAAAATTGTGGCCTGAAGTGAGAAAGGACTGTTTTAAAACCAGTGTTTTGAAAAGATGGCTGCACGACTGTCATTGCAGGTATCATTAAAATTGTTTGAACAAAGGGTAATTGAAGTGGTTGGAACCAATTTGGAGATGTGGTTCTGAATACAGATGCAGCTGGGTGGCAGTGTAAAGTTGATTGTTCCATAGACCAATGTTCCTACTGAATTTTATTTCTTCTGCACATGTCTCTGAGGTTCATGCACAGCTTGCATTCCAGAAGTTAATGTCGCGAATAGTGTTAGTGTGCCAATTGCCATGTATTGGACAGGGTGCAGCCTTGAGGAAATACTATTATGTACTAGTGACTTGTTATCAATGACAAAGGCGTTTTGCCTTCCAACAGCTATGTGATTGTTCAGTTACCTGACAACCAATGTGGAATTGGGAAAAGTTTACAGAGAAAGGATTCGATCTCCACAAGCTTAGAAGTGGTCTGCCTGTTCTCTGCAGTCAAAACTCACTTTAAACCAGAAGAAAATCAGTTAATCTTTCCTTTAGCAGTCACAGTGAGCTGTAACTTTTAATTGATAAATCAGAGGTATTTTACAAGTGATTGAGCCACCCTCTGCTGTTTGCAAGCCAGTGGAAGCATTTAGAAAAGCAAAACCAAGAACAAACTTTTGAATCAGCAAGCACCAACTCAACAGAATTAGACAAAGATTACAGAGCTGTCTTTGCAGGTTTTCCCTACTGTCTGTGTTTTTCCGCTGTCTCTACATCTGTGTTTGTGTGTGAAGTAAGTAGGAGTTTATAAGGGAATTAGAGTATTAATTTATCGTGTTATATGTGACAGTTTATGTCTATTTACCTGTCGCTAGACTCTAATTACATGTAATCCATGGTAATTCTTGTTCAGTACAGAAATCTAGTCTGTGCTTTCTATCAACCTCAGTCAGAAAATTAAGTAATATCTCAAAATATTTTCACTATGAACATTTTTCAGAAGAAGCAGAGGAAGATAAAAGTTTTGAATTCAAAAAATCCATCTACTGCTGTTAGTCGTCTTCTTAAGACAGTGGCGAAGAAGTCAAAAAAATCAAAGCCTTCTATTGCCAATAAACACGCCACAGAAGAAGAAATACCACAGCTAGTTCCCATTGAAGAGCAAACGGTCACAAAGAAGGCAAAATTGCAAGTAAGTCATCTCCCACAGTGAAATGAGCCAGGGCTTCTTTTGAGATCTGCTACAGTGACATAGGTGAATCAAATCTGGAACTTAACCAAACAATGGATTCAGTTGCTTATATCTCTCTTCTTTCCTTCCAAGGTTGTTTGGTTTTCTGATATCACTATTATTTCATTAACTATTTTAATCCTTTTTTTTTATTTTGGATTACCAACTCAACACATACAGTAAAATTTGTGTTATCCAACACCATAGCAACCAGAATGTTCCACTGGACAGAATCACTGATAGCCCTCTGGTTGCAAACTATTTTCTCTTTAGATTTTTTTGACTTTCTGTTGAACGTACTATTGCCGAGTTAAAGTGATTTATTTATGCTAATTGCATTTGTGCTTATCTCTCCATCTTTAGCAAACAGGGTGTGTGGCTGAGCTGTTCACATAATGCAACATTCTCTAACCAGCCAGAAAGTGGTACAAGAGGAACAAGGCAGCATGATTAGTGCTGCGCAGTATTTGTTTTCATGTCAGCCATTCCTTTCTCTGCTTTAAGTGATTGTTTTCTCTGCTATGCTTTATACAGGATGACTTTGTTGTCTACAACTATCAGCTCATCCTTTCTGAGGCACTCAAATGCATTACAGCATAAGTCAATGTGCATCATTTCCACACCTCCTCATTACTGTTGCTGTTGTAGTAACTCCCCATGTAAACACGTTTTTGTTTTAGTTCCAGCACCGTCTGTTCTTGCTATGTGCTGGATGGCACAAATTTTACTCTGGTTTGTGTAACACACCATTTTTGGACTTTGTTCCCCCCTGCTAAACATATATTTCTGTGTCTCTAGGTGTTTTCACGTATGGACGCAGTCGTCATTGTTGTGTTGTCTTAAGTTTCTCCCTCATTTACTTTAAATGTGCTATACGATTAGTTGCTGTTGAAGATGCTGGATAATTTTCAGCTGAACTTTGTAAAGGTTGCAGAAGATTTATGATTTTCTAGTTTTTAAATCATACGTTGTATAAAAAATGCACTCAGTCTCACTTGGCTTCTGCCAACCTTATAAACAGTCAAGAGAATTCTTAGCTGAGATGATACAATGAAGAGTAGAAAATTGTAAGAATTTTAATTGTTCTCCCTTATATGAGCATGTGATTTTGTGTGCGACAGAGACACTTAACTGTGGAACTTAGTTAATTTAAAGTGAGCTATTTGCCATTTATGGTAATGAAAATTGAGTTCTCTTACAAAACTGGTCAGAGAGGATGTGTTGGTCTATTTACGATTAAGTTTATTTGACGTCCTTACTTTTTTTCTCTTTTGCTGAGCAGGAATTAAATGGAGAAAACCACACCATTCCAAACAGAGTCAATGGAAGTAAGAAGCCAGTTGGTAAGAAACAACAAAAATTAAAGCACAAAGAAAGGCAGAAAGCACCTAAACAGAACTCGGAGAGCCAAGGACTACAAACTCTACCTTCATGAGGGAAACGCCTTCAGACGTAAAACCTTGAAATGAAAATCAATAATTCCTTATTTGAGAGTACTGCACAGAAGGAAACTGCTTTAGAAAAAAATCAACAAAAGTAGGAGAAAAATTTGTGAAGTCAGCAATGAAAGCTCCTAAACAAAAACAAAAGATTCCATGGTCTGCTTGAGCCTTGGTGGCAGAAGCCAAGTGAGACTGAGTGCATTTTTCATACAGTGTATGATTTAAAAACAGCTAGAAAGACATAAATCTTCTGTAGCCTTTACAAAGTTCACCTTTGAGTAGGGTGTAGATCCTTTATTCAAAAATTGGTAATAAATTCTTTGCTATTCCAAGTGGTCTGTCAAATAGACATCGTGTTGACTCTTTTTGTTTAAATATACATGACATTGTTTAATAATTTAAATGAGACCTGTTTGTTGATCACTGTGGTAACAATCTGAAGAAAGTGTCTTATCTTCAGAAGAATGGGCATTGTCACCAGTGCATAAATCATGGGAATTGAGGAATAAGGTGTCAAGTTTTAACAGATTTATGAGCATGAATAGGAACAAGAATAGGAACAGCTGTAACTAACAGCAAAGTGGAAACAAAAAGGTTGCTGAGATCTTCATTTCTTTGTAAACTGTCACCAGTTATCACTATTTCTAATGTAATAGTTTAGGTATTGGCTTAATTGTGCTGTATTCTCCCTTAGTTATCCACCAGTTTCCAGCTAAAGGGCATGGACCTGCAGATGCTGGAAATCTGAAACGAAGACCCAAAATAATCAGGTCAGGCAGCATCTGTGGAGCTGCTTTTAATGAGAGTCATCATGACCTGAAACATTAACTGTTTCTGTTCCCAGATTGTATCTGACCTGATTTCTATATTGGCTTGATTTCATCCTTAATTTTGTTTCTTTTCCCTTGTTCCCCTGTTAAAGAGCATTGCACATCAGCTTCAGCAGGCTTACTAATTGCTTAACGGTGGTAGGTGCTGAGGACTGTGAACCTATGTGCATTACAGGCGATACATTTAAGTAGCAGTCAAAATGGATGAAAGCCAATTACACATTGCGGGAAAGTAACTGTAGAGTAAAATTGTCAAGGGTTCTCCCTTTTTAATTTTTGCAGCACTTGTTCCCACTAACTTTCAATTACACCACCCAAGCAAAAACATTTCTTTTAATGCATGTATCAGAAGCAAATAAGACAAGGCAGACTGGTAAATTTTAATGATCTGTTTGTGTCTTGAGGGAAATCCATTGCAGGATTTATATGAAGCTTCTAATGCATCAGAATTTGTTCCAATGCTATTAACTGTGCGTCCATATATGTGCTGAACTTGGCTAATCCTCATTCGTGCTTACCCTGTGTAAATATTTCTCATGAGAACTGTCAATTGAAATGTAAGCTCAAGTCAACCGTTTGTTTATTAACAATATATCAGGCATCCAGAAACCAAATAAAACATTTTTATCCTATTGTAGCTTTGTATTTGCAGATGTATGTTTTGTCATTTTTGATTTTTTGTGAGTAACTAGGGTGTAGATACAGGGTGTATTGTCCTAATGTTGCTAGTTATGGCTTTATTTAAAAACTCAACTTATTATTTAAGCTTTATTAGGAGTGATGTATATTTAAAACTAGCTTACAGTTGAAGAATTTAAATTCAGTTAATTAAACAAAATAATGCTGTTAATGCTGACTGTAAAATGATTGGATTGTCATTGTTAAAAACTGAAAGATGCTGTAAATCAGAAACAAATAGCAATGGCTAGAAAAGCTCAGCAGGTCTGGCAGCATCTGTGGAGAGAAATCAGTTGACATCTCTGGTCGAGTGACCCATCCTCAGAACTGGATTGTCTTAGAAACTGTTTTCTTTATTACTGTCCATTAGGAAAAGAAATGCTAATCCTCACCAGGTCTGGAGTTACAACATGTTTAACATTTGTTGAAATTGGACTAGCCAGGTGCTCAGTTATATCAAACTGCAATGAAAAATGTTGAAAAAGCACACTGAGAAAGAAAATCACCCGATATTGGCCTAGTCCTGATCTTTGTTGTGCTTTGGCAGTGTCCCTATCTCTAGGCCAGAAGGTCCAGGTTGAAGACTTACCTCCGACTGTGATGGCTGCGGAGGTGTGTCGTAACTTGTCCAAGGAGGCTGATCAAGCCTGGTCAGCCATCTCATTCATAGCTGGAGACTGATATAAAAAACTGGGAGAGCTAATCCACAGACTCGGGAACGAGCAGCCTGACTTAGTCACGCTCTCAGAATCATACTTTTCCGATAATTCCCCAGATACTCATCTGTGTCCAGCAGAGATGCTGGTTCTTGACATGTGAAAGGGAAGGAATGACCCCGGGAGTACTCAACATGGATTCCTCACCTCATGAAGCCTCATGGCATCAGCTGAAATACAGGCAAGGATACCTCGAGCTGAGTACAACGGCTCACCCTCTGTCATGAATCACTGTGCCTGAAAGTTCAACACCAGGACACAGAATATACTGTGGGTGCAATATTTCATTCTCCAATACCTAGTGCTTTGACAGGACGTATCTGTGGGGACAATCTGCAACAGGTGCATAAGGAAAATCTATTTTGCTTTATCCTGACCATTGTACCTGTTGGAGAAAAACCTATCCACCAATTCTAGAAGTGATTGCCACACAGTCCTTTTGGAGGCAGAGTCCCATCTTCACTCTGAAACTCCATCCATCCTATATGGCACTAGTACAGTACTGAATGGGATAAATTCAGAACTGATCTATCAGCTCAAAACATTATTAAGACACTGCACCATCCAGCTGCAACAGAATTGAGTTCCATAATCTACAACCTTGTGATGCAGGATATTCCTCTCACACTTTAATTAGGCTCAAGCCAGGCTGACCAACTCTGGTCCAATGAGTGTTGTTGTAGAGAGTGCACATCTAAATAGAGATGCTAAGCTGGTGGGGCTGCATCATGCATCGTAAACAGTGGAACTAGAATGTTATAGATAACTAAGGGATCTTACATCTGACAAATCAGATTAAACGACCACAGTCCTGCCACATCAAATTGTGAACAGTGGTGGGCATTTAAATGCTGACAGCAGGAGAAGGCTCTGTGAATGTCCCTATTCTCAATGATGATGGACCCAAGCATATCTCCAGCCATACATGCACAGTTTGGGTTCAGCTATGATGGCATGGCTCCTGATTTGATTACATGAAAACATGGGCACAGAGCTCATGTGATGTGGAGGCAGCATTTGATAGGATCTATAAGCTTTAGTAATACTGAAGTCAATGGGAAGGAGGAGGAAACTTTATTGCCTGGAGTTGGATCTAGTTGAATCAAAGGAAGATAGTTGTGGTTCTTGGAGGTGAGTCAACTTAGACCCAGGACATCTTTACAGGATTTCCCAGGCCGAACCTCTGCTACATCAATGTCCTTTCCTCAATCATAAGGTTAGAAGTGGGGATGTTCTCTCTTAATTGTACAGCATTGAGGTCCACCTGGGACTCTTCAACTGCAGCAAGAGCTGATAAATATTCAGTGTTGGACCACTGAGTGAAAGGTAACATTAGTATTACAAAAGTGTCAGTAAATAACCTTTTCCAACAAGAGAGAGTCTCCCCTTAAAGCTGCCATTGCAGAGTTCCTCTACTATCAACATCCTGGCAGTCAACATTGACCAGAAATGTAACCGGACCAGCCACTCAAATATTGCACCTACAGAAGCACATCGGCGGCTGAGTATTCTGTGGTAGAATACCCACTGGCTCTCCAAAGTCACCTAATTTACAAGTCAGGAGGGTGATGGAATACTGTGCTGACCTGGATGAGTGCTGCTCTAATACCTAATTCAGGTCAAAGCAGCTCACTTGAATGGCATCCAATTCACTCCCTTAAATATTCACCCACTCCTTCGCTAAATCCCTGTCTACAGTATATGCCATGTGGAAAATCCTTCAAAAAGCTCCTTTCAAATTAGCAAACTCTCCCACCAAGAAGAACAAAGGCAACAGGTGCATGGAAACATTACCACCTACAAGTTCTATTCCAAGTCACACACCACTTTAACTTGGAAATATGTCTCTGTTTCTCAATCATTGTTGCATCAAAATCCTGGACCTACTTAACAGTTGGCAGCTGGATTTCTTTATTCTTTCACAACATGTGGGTGTCACTGGCATGTGGAAATGGAAACTTTATAATATTTAGTACAAACATCTGGATTTATTTCCTAGGAGCAATTTTAGTACTGACAATCTTAATAAATAATTGAGATTCTGGTTTTTAGAAATTCAGCTTTCCTTCACAGGGTTGCTATGCAGAATGAAGTAAAACACCAAGTGTGATCTGAGTTTGCAATGAGTTTAATTTGTTTTGATTTCCATTCCTGTTCCTGCCATCCAGCACCTACTCTGGAAGAAATGAGTCTTTGTGACACTTTCTTTATGAATGTCAGATGATCGGAACAGGGCAAGAATATTATTTAGCCCCACATTTCTCTGCATTCCAAGCAAGGTTAGATAAGTTTGGAAGTTCTATATAGAGGCATAACTAATGATCTGTTACATAGCATAAACAGTTATTAAAGCATGCATAGCTGTCACCAATTAATAATTCCTTGTGTGCAACAGTGAGTTTTGAACCTGCATCTGAGAGACAAAGAAACCAAACTTTAGTTGAAACGCGACAAAAAGATTTATGCAGAGGTTGAAAAGCTGTCATGGAAGTGATGAGCAACTCTCTCTTGAATTTTAACATTAACCCCTTTGAAGATATGTATGCTTACAACATATGAACGAGTACAGCACACCTATCTACAGAGGATCAAACCCATCACCCAAACATAACCAATGAAACGACTCAATTAACAAACAAAAGTGGTTTCAGATTGTAAATGGACATAACGTTGGGCTAAATTTGTTCCTATCATGCTATCTGCTATGGGTATTCCTGAAGCTCAGTATAAACTCGTTAAATTCATAATTGATACCAAACAGGGCAGTGTAGTTGAAGCTGAAAAAGTAACCATGGTTGTGGAAATAAATGTGAATTGTTAAGTACATGGAAATTTGGCACATGAATGATGTTGGAATAGCTGTGACTGAAGATGGAAGGGTTCTAGGGATATTAGCATCTATATGTGTGGAGAAGCAATTCTTTATCATAAATGGAGGGCTGAATTTTAACGAACCAAGTATAAAATACAATTTGTATAAAAAGAAGTCATGCTCTTATCATTTGGCACTTTCCTGTCTCCAGTGTTGACACCAAGGCAGAAGGTATTCATGTCCTGGAGAGGAACCATGGAGTGCAGTTCTTTTGTCCATGTTTAAACCAAGGTTGTAATGAGGTTAGGAGTTGAGTGGTCCTGGCAGAACCCAAATTGAGCATCCTTGAGCAGGTTATTACAAAGCAAAAGGTGTTCGAGGTCAACAACATCAGACCCGACACCAAGCTCATGGTTTACAGAGCTGTGTCATTCCTGCCCTCCTATATAGCTCTGAGACATGGACTGTCTACAGTGGAAACCTCAAGGTGCTGGATCAGTACTGCCAATGTGACCTGCAAGAAGGAAGCAGCAACACCAGCGTCCTGTAGCATCCCCAGCATCGAGGCGCTGACCATCCTTGATTGGCTATAATGGGTTGGGCATTTCGTCCACATGACCGACATGAGAATCCCCAAGTAGGTGCTCTACTCTCAGCCTTGAAACAGCAGGGGAGCCCCACATAGACAGAGGAAGTGCTTCAATGATACCCCAAGGCCTCGCTGGTGAAGGGTGGCATTCCCACCGACACCTGGGAATCACTGGCCCAATACCTTCCAAAGTGGAGGAGGAGCATCTGGGAAGGTGACAAGCACCTCGGCAAAAAGCAGAGGCCAGGCGAAAGGAGCATGCTGCCACACCAATGCCCCACTCACCCCTTCTTCACCAAGTGTAACAGAGCCTGCCAGAGCCACATCGGTCTGTACAGCCATCTACAGACTCAACCTGAGGGTGGAAGAGGGACGTCCTCATATGCAAGAGACCACCGATGATGATGATGATTACAAAGCAAGTGCTTTTTGAAAGCACTGTTAATGACACCTTCCATCACTTTGCTAGTATTACCAGGGACTAACAGTGAGTAAACTGTCAGGGTAGTAATTGATCACTTGTGTTTGTCTTGCTCTTTTGTGACAGGACATAGCTAAGACCATAAGCTGTAGGAGTCATTCAGCTCATTGAGTCTGCTCTACCATTTAATAAGATCATGGCTGATCTGATAATCCTCAACTCCACTTCCCTGTCTTTTGCCATATCTTTGGATGTCCTTACTGGTTCAAACTCTGTCTATATCAGCATTGAACATACTTAATGACCCAGCTTCTGTAGCTTTCTGTAGTATAGAATTTTACATTCACTACCCTCAGAGAGAAGAAATTCCCTGTCATAATGTATGACCCCTTATTCTGAATTTATGCCCTCTGGTCCTGGA